AAATAAAAATGTAACAACACATTAAATTAAACCGGTCGAAGGACAAGTAGACGAAAATATAAATAAAATAAATCAACGTCTCTCTCGTTTTCCTTTCTCTTATACACGACTAAAATAAAATATATAAAAATGCCTACAGTAGAAAAGAAATATTTAAAAAATGTTTGAAACTCATTTTCTAAGATATTTTAAAAACGTTAAAATAATTGATTAAGTCCCTTTTTATTCATTAAAAAACGTTTATTTTAATGTTAATAATGTAAATATTTATTTAACGTTTATTAAATATTTTAAATAAAATTTATATTATATTAATATTAAAATAACTATCAAGAGACTTCTCTTCGCTAGGAATAATAATATCTGGATAATAAAATTAGATTGACTACATTGGCTTCAAATATTAGATGAAAATTTACGTTTCGACCATATGGTTTGTGGTCCTTTTCAAAATTTACACAGAAATCTTAACCCATCACATTTACGAGATCGGAAGCGTGAAATTATCAAATATGCCGCACATCAAAAAGTCAAATTATCAAATCAAAAGCACAACGAGTATAATAAGTTATGATATGATTCGGTATACTGAGTACAGATTTTGTCATAATTTGACTTTGGTGTGCGGCATATTTGACAATTTCGCGCTTCCGATCTCGTAGATGTAATCGGTTAAGATTTCTGTGTAAATTTTGAAAAAGATCACAAACCGTATAGTCGAAACGAAAATTTTCATCTAATATTTGAAGCCAGTGTAGTCAATCTAATTTTATTAACCAGATATTAAAATAAACGTTTTTTTAATTAATAAAAAGAGACTTAACCAATTTGGCTCTATTTGGCGTGCGTGCACGCGCGCACACACACACGCGCGCGCGCGCGTACACACACACACACGCACGCACGCACACACACACACATCACTAGGGGTGTCATAACGGAATACTTTGAGACGACTCATTAATAATAAAGATTTCTTATTTGCCATCTTGAAGATTTACACTTATCATTTTATTATACATTTACACTTATTTAATTGATTTGTTAATCAGTACTTAGTAACGCTTATCTTTTTGTAAACATAATTCATTTATTCATTCGATCTCAATACATAGTTCTGTAAAGACAACATTATATCGTTCTTTAAATAAATTGTATTTAGTTCAATCAAATCTCAGTTATTTCCTGCGATCGTCTCCACAATTGACGACCCCGACTCGGACGCATCCGCAAAATAGCATTTTTCTCCAGGAAATTGGACAACACCCAGAAGAATTATAGTACCCTCGTGAATTACTTGGCATTTACTTAGCCATTAAACATTTTTGGTATTTACTTAAAGCACGTCAATTACTTATACGTATACCGATCATAAACCTTTCATATGTTTAGACAGAAGTTGAATAAAGCTTCTTCTAGATAAATTCGCCAACTTGATTTTATTGCTCAATTTCCATTGACATTGAATTTATTTCAGGAGGGGGAATGTAGTTGCTGATGCTTTTTTAAGAATTGAGTCTATCTCTATGCCAGTTAATATTTCACTAAATGATCTGACTAATTTTTAAAAAGAAGATGAAGAATTAAAATCATTGTTTGCAAATTCTTCTCTTAAGTTACAAAACCAGACACTTACAGATTCGATTATCCCGATTTACTGTGATTGTTTTACAGTTAATGTCCGTCCTTATGTGCTTCAACTTCTGCAAAGGAAAATTTTTAATGTTGTCCACGGTTTAACACATCCTAGTGGCCGGGCAACCTGTAAATTAATTCAACAGAAATTTATATGGCCTACCATTAAAAAGGACATTAAAGAATGATCTCGGACTTGTTTATCTTGCCAGCGAGCCAAAATTAGTAAATATAAAGAATATTCCTCAAAGAATTGCAATACCTGATCAACGTTTTCAACATGTGCATTTTGATTTTATTGGTACTCTTCCTAAATGTCAAAATTATCGATACTGTCTGACTATGGTCGACAAGTTTTTGAGTTGGCCTGAGGCAATTCCTTTAATTAAAATTTCTGCTGACACTGTCGCAACCTTCTATACTCATTGGATAGCAAGATATGGTTTTCCACATATCATCACTACGGATCAAGGATCTCAATTTGAAGCAGCGATCTTCAAAGCTCTCATCGACCTTGTAGGTTGCGAGTGAACAAAAACTTTTGCTTATCATTCAGCTGCAAATAAAATTTTAGAACGATGGCATCGCACACTCAAAAGTGCTATTATGTATCATGCAAATGAAAACTGGATAGAAGTTCTTCCCACTGTGTTGTTAGGTCTATGCACCTGCTTCAAAGAGGATTTGCATGGTTCCCCTGCTGAAATGCTTTATGGTTCCACACTTGGAATTCCTGGAGAGTTCTTTATTGAAGATCTTACACAAGATTCAGAAATTTTTCTGAAAAAACACAGAATTTTTATGAGAAACATTAAGTCGCAGTCAACTGCACATTATCACAAAAAATCACCTTTTTTTCATAAAAATGTATACGATTGTTCACACGTCTGGATTCGTAATGATTCTGTTTGGAAATCTCTTCAATATCTTTATTCGGGTTCATTTCCTGTTGTTAACAGAATTAATGATTATCTTTTTTGCTATCAATATTTCAGGTAAAGTTGTAAATATTTCAACGGAACGTCTTAAGCCAGCATTCTTACTTAGAAAAGATATCACTGATTCTACTGATTTTTCTACTGTGTCACCGCCTTCTTCGTCTGCATCTATTATACTTGCAACAACTGTATCTGCAAATGCAGCAACTACTGCACCTGCAACTATACTGTGCCTGCAACTACTGTGTCTGCGACTTCTGTGCCTGCAACCACTGTACCTTATAACGATACGCCCCGCGCCGCAAGGCCGTGACAAATATATACGTAGATAGATTGATAATTCCGATCAACGGGTATAACTATATGTTTCGCGAAGCGTAAAGTACCGTTATAATTGCCGTTCCCCCACGCGCTGCGTTAATTGGAAAATTAAGACGAAAGCTTCCGGAGTCGAACGGAAAGCGATGACGGAGCCGAATAAAAAGCTCACGGCGAATCGAAAAAGGGCATTCTGCTCCGTACCGTCTTACGACAGCTACCGCTCCGGAAAACGCTACTGAGAAGGCTAAGATCGAAGAGATCGGGGGTGCTCCGTCTCGTGTGGGTGCGTTCTCACTAACGAAGCCGCTCCGAGCGTCTCCTAGAATAAATCTGTTCCTCCGACTATCCTCCTACACAGTTGGCTGTATTTTTCAGAGGTTGGGATTTCTCCGCCTCTGTTGGAAATTTCCGCGGCCGATTTCCTCAATCCAACTTCCTCGGGAAAAATAAACGGAATCCCCGCGACACGATACCGGAAAACAAATACTCGTTTTGCGAGACCGCACCGCTCTCTCTCGCTCCCGTGCGCGCGAGAGAGAGAATCGCGCGCGGCAATAATAACACGGAGATCGCACCGCGCCCCGTACCGCGTCGCGCCCGAAAAAGAAAAACAAACGCGGCCGTGAGAATTTAAAGAGCCGGCCTTTTAAATCCTGCATTCCCATCGCCGGACCAAATTAATAGATCGACGTTCCGCGTTAGCAATTAATCTCGTGCAGTTAATACCTTATTTTGCGCATGTGTTTCAGGACACGATAGCTGCACTATTCACCCGTAATCACCGCCGAACCGATTCGCACACCAGCACGCATCGCTATTCATTGGTATACACGTAGCCACACATATTGGGTTATTCGCACTCATACACGCATTTACACGCGCATCCGCATACATTGCTACACCTTTATACGTACATTTATACATGCATCCGCACGCACTTATACTCGCATTCATCCACACGTTCATACGCGTATCTGCATCCATTTATATTCGCATTCACACACGCATCCGCACACACCGATACCGTCGTATACAAGTTTTATAACTTGCACCCGCACACATGTATACTCACATGCATATACGCATTCAATCTTAAACACATTTGCGCTACACAAACCCACACACACACATACACATCATACACATGTATACTTGTATATAGAACACAATAAACATTTGTTAAATTTGCACCCTCTACAAAGGCGTACGTTTCTTGGAGGTAACCCCTTTCCCGAACCTTGTGATCCCATTCGAGCGATCCGGCCGCGCCGGGAAAGAGGTCCGTTATAACCTCTTAGGACCTATTTCCGCGTTAAAAAAAAAGATACATTTTGCAACGTTGTAAGACGTTTCTTAAGCGGGAGTAGCAACTCATTGATAATGAAAATTTTTTACTTACCATCTTGAAGATTTACACTTATCATTTTATTATACATTTGCACTTATTTAATTGATTTGTTAATCAATATTTATTGTTAATAACACTTTTTGTAAACTCTTATTTAATTGATTTGTTAATCAGTATTTATTGTTAATAACATTTTTTGTAAACATAATTCATTTATTCATTCGATTTCAATACATAAAGACACATTAAATCGTTCTTTAAATAAATTGTATTTAGTTCGATCAAATCTCAATTATTTCTCGCGATCGTCTCCACAACTTTCCTGCAGATAAAAAACTTTCCGCATATATAAGAACCACAACCCAAAAAGGCTCAGTATCGGAGCTCTCAGCCCTGAAGATGCAAACTGCAACGTTTGCGAAACGTCAGATTAGACTGTTCAATCACGCGGCATCCATCCGGAAGCTTTTTGCATTAATGATTCCAATAGCCGCAAAAGCCTTAAAACTTAACCAATTATTTTTGTTTCTAAAATATCTTTCATAAATAAGTTTCAAAAATTTTATAAATATTTCTTTGCTACTAAAGAAGAAGGTACTTTATAACAAATTTTTACATCAGTACATTTCTCTATTATATATGTAATTTTCTACAACTAAATTACGTAATGTAGTTGTAGAAAATTATAACTTTTTACGTAAATTTATAAAAAACTATAAATATGGTCCAAATCGCGTAGATTTGACGTAAAAGTCACGTTGAAATAATTCAAAAACATGTAATTATATAATAAGAAATCATACTTTGCACATAATTTCGTGTGAAAAATTGTAAAATTATTTTCACCAGGGGTTTGTTGCGTGTTTTTACGGACTAATACAGAATCGTCAAAAATGAATTCCGCAGTATGGATCGAAGCGTTGACTCGTAAAAATTAAGATAAATGGAAGCTACAGATGCAAGCATTGCTAACGAAGAACGATGCATGGGCGCACATCAGCAATGAACTACAAAGGCCGCAGGTAACCAAACAGGAGACTACATCAGCAGCCTTGGAAAATTGGAAAAGAGGCGACAGTAAAACTAACAATAAGTCAAATATCATTTTATCGATTAGTCCTTACGAATTAAAACTAATTAAAGAATATGAAACGTCTCGCAAAGTATGGCTCAGATTAGAAGGTATATATTACTTCAAAGGTCCTACGCAAAAAGCGACGCTATTGAAACAACTTACGCTACTACGCATGGAAGACGGTGCGAACGTCAGAGAACACGTTAATAAGTCTTTTGACACCGTCGATAAACTGAAAGAGATGGAAATAAAAATTAACAAAGATTTACTGTCGATAATGCTGCTTTATAATATGCCATCTAATTTCGAAAATTTTAGATGCGCCATTGAATCTAGAGATGAGTTGTCTACTCCTGAAATTCTAAGAATGAAAATTCTGGAGGAATTCGAAGCTCGAAGGAACGAATCTGGAAGTGCACTGCAAAATGCTATGTTCAGCACAAAGAATTTTCGAAAGAAGCGTCCACCGACGAAGTCTAAGGATGTACGTAAAAAGTCGAACAAAGAGAATAATTAAAGTTTCGGTGCCACAAATATCACAAAGTGGGTCATAAGGCCGCTGAATAAAAGCCGCGATAAGAAGAAGAAGGATATTGACAAGAAGGCCAAGGATGTAAGTTTCTCTGTCGACTGCGCATTCAAAACTGAATTCGTCATGATTAAGTTTATACCTATTATTGTCAACATACCTCACATTTAATGACATCGTTTACAAGCAAGTTTATGGCACGCCCATAGGTTCCCTGTTATTGCCAATAATTGTTAATATTGTTATGCAAGATCTAAAAAAACCGATAATTAATACATTAGATGTCGATATCGCAATTTATCATAGATATGTAGATGACATTATTATGGTGGCGCCAAAAAATAAAGTAGATAGTATTTTAAACCAATTTAATAGTTACCATCAACGACTACAATTTACGGTTAAATATGAAATTGAGAGAAGCATAAATTTTTAGATCTAAATATTAAGATCATTGATAACGTCATACACATAGACTAATTTCAAAAAAAGATTTGTTCAGATAGAGTACTATCTTTCTTATCAAATCACTTCATGTGCCATAAGATAGGGGTAATTTATAATCTCGTCGATAGAGCAATATAATTATCTCATCCCATATATCACAAGAAAAATTTGGAACACTGTATTGACATATTATTGGATAACAGTTACCCCATTGATTTAATTTTTAAAGAAATCAATAGGAGAATAAAAATGTTGAACAATTTTTATCTTAACAATAAAAGAATAAAAGATATTACAGAGAAAAAGAGCAAAAAGTTTTTTGTTATCCCCTATATTAATAATATTTCTGAAATAATAGCATCGACAATTAAAAAATCAGATTTTAAAGTGGATTACCGTTGTCTTAAAAATCTTAATAAATTTATTAAAATTTACAAGGACAAAACCGTTTATAACAATAACAACACTAACAACAACACTAACAACAACACCAACACTAACACTAACAACAACAACAACAACAACAACAACAACAACAACGATAACAAAACAACGATAACGACAACGACGACGACGACAACAACAACAACAACAACAATAATAATATTAATGTCGTCTACAAAATTAATTGTAAATACTGTAAAGTTTCTTATGTGGGGCAAACCAAAAGACAATTACGTACTAGATTAAAGGAGCATACTAGTAACATAAAATTTGATTTTTCCAAGCATTCGGTGATCTCAGAACATATTGTAAATATTAAAAAACATGTTTTTGATTAGAATAACGTTAAAATACTTGATATTAAATTGAACTACCATAAAAGACTTATCTCGGTGATGATACACATAAAGGAACAAAAGCATGGTATAAATAATAATACAGACACCGAATTTCTTGACAACGCTTACTTTGACATTTAAGAAGAAATAGCGAATTTTTAGACTTATTAAAATGTTTATGTTCTGCGGCTTGTCACCTATATATTCAACTTTTTTAACTGACATGACATCAGTCAAGTACTAAGTTCAATAACAATTAGAAGCATTTTTTCACTTATAATTTATTCAGAACAATCGTAAGTAATACGTATTTAATTTTTTAATTCTTACATATACATAATGTGATTTTTATTTTATAATATATATTTTTTAAATACAGTTTATAATAACACAACTATTAAATGACTTGGTAATGATGGGCACGGTCATTGCCAAACTGATAACTTTTGGCCGACTAATGATGTGTTTGGGCGAATTTTTTAGAGCCACTCCGAGTTTTTAATAAAAAATTGGAATAGCTTGATAACTTACTTTAACTCTGTCTTTTGCTTCTAAATGGTTTTTTTGTGTTAAACTTTATTTAATTATTTTATGTATTATTAATGTATTTCGCCTTTTAATTTTGACATAATTATCTAATTTATATAAATTTAACGTATAAGACGGGCAACAAGAGCCAAATCGCGGATGACAATGCGTTATCCTAACGAAACTAAATAATTTTCCGTTAGAATTAAATACCGGTGCACAAGGCACCAAATTTTTTACTTGGACACGGCCAAGATTTTAAAATATGAAATAATCTCATATTTGAGATTTAATTTCAATACCCCTTTTAACCCCCCTACGGAAAATAAATAAATGAATGCAAGAGAAAAATATAGATCCGAAAATCGCTGAATCGGGAATCGAACCCGAGACCTTTCGCTTGCCGGGCGACTGCTCTTCCAGCTGAGCTATTCAGATCCTTTCGATTCTATACTTTTCTCTGTTATATATATTAATGTTGGTAAACAAACGCATTTTTAAGCCAGCGTGTATCAATATAAGAGTTTTAACAAGGCTCTGTAATATAAATATAAATTTAACGTATAAGACGGGCAACAAGAGCCAAATCGCGGATGACAATGCGTTATCCTAACGTAACTAAATAATTTTCCGTTAGAATTAAATACCGGTGCACAAGGCACCAAATTTTTTACTTGGACACGGCCAAGATTTTAAAATATGAAATAATCTCATATTTAAGATTTAATTTCAATAACCCCTTCGGCGCCTTTTACTCATTGTGGGGTTGATTACGCCGGCCTACTCCACGTAATTTCATTCGTCGGCAGAGGGCAAAAGGCCAGAAAGGTATATATCGCTCTGTTTGTTTGTCTTGCTACAAGGGCGATTCACCTCGAATTAGTGGAAGATTACTCCACGCCCGGCTTTCTCGCAGCCTATCAGAGGTTCACTAGCCGAAGAGGTCTGCCGCGTCACATGTATAGCGACAACGGCACAAATTTTCATGGAGCCAACCACGAACTCCATCGACACTTTCAATCCTTATCGAAGGATGCTGAATTGCGAAACGCGCTCGCAGGCGACGGAGTGAACTGGCATTTCATTCCCTCCGCCGCTCCACATTTCGGCGGCCTTTGGGAGGCCGGAGTCAAGAGCCTTAAAACGCATCTGAGGCGCGCTGTTGGTTCCCACACACTTTCGAGGGCTGAACTCGCGACGCTTCTATGTAAAATAGAAGCGTGCCTTAACTCGCGACCAATCGCTCCGCTTAGTGACGACCCGGGTGACTTGTCGGCGCTCACCCCGGGTCACTTTCTGATTGGACGGCCCCTCGTAGCCGTTCCGGAGGAATCGGTACTCGCGATCGACCCGCGTAGGCTCTCGCGATGGCAACTAGTCCGTGCCATGCAGGAAACCGTGTGGCGTGCCTGGTCACAGGATTATTTACATTCGCTTCAACAGCGAAACAAGTGGTGCAAGCAGTCTCCTAACTTCGCAATAGGCGAATTAGTATTAGTTAAAAGTCCCGTGCTCCCTCCGAGCAAATGGGAGCTTGCCCGAGTACAGCAGATCCATCCTGGATCTGATGGACTCGTTCGAGTTGTGACCATACGCACCGCACGGTCCACATTGAAACGACCTATTGCGCAATTATGCCGACTGCCAATACGTGATAACTCTAACGCGTCCGCAACGGATAGAGCCGCTAACTTGTAAGAGTTATGTAATCTTCGAGACGACTTTCTCAGCGCGAGTCGTCTTCACCTGTATGTTTTGTAATCATCTTCCTCGCCGATTCGTTCCCGCTTCGTTTAACTTTATTTCGCATTCGTTCGCATACGAGGCGGGCGGTATGTTGAAGATTCGTTCTTCGGATCGAATCCTCGAGGACGATCGAATTTTCTAGAATGTTTTTTGTTAAATTCCTTAGTGTTTACGCCAAGGAAACACGTGAAACCACGTGTACACTCGCCGCTAATTGCGTGTGTACATCGCCTGATTTTCCGATGGTCCAATCGAGGACCCCGATCGGCTGCCGCCCTACGCGAGCTCCGAAATTCGCGCAGCCCTCGAGTCAGTCCTCGAGAGAGCGAGCGCCGAGAAACATAAGTCTCCGTACGCGACGAACTTGTAAAAGTGAATAAACTAATTTAAACCGTTTCAAAACGCGTACAATCATTTGATCACGTTAACCCGGCATCCTACAACGTTAAATCTTATACATATAAAAATGGTTTTTACATACATATAAAAATACGCATTTTTAAGCGTATTTAATTCTAACGGAAAATTATTTAGTTTCGTTAGGATAACGCATTGTCATCCGCGATTTGGCTCTTGTTGCCCGTCTTATACGTTAAATTTATATTTATATTACAGAGCTTTGTTAAAACTCTTATATTGATACACGCTGGCTTAAAAATGCGTTTGTTTACCAACATTAATATATATAACAGAGAAAAGTATAGAATCGAAAGGATCTGAATAGCTCAGCTGGAAGAGCAGTCGCCCGGCAAGCGAAAGGTCTCGGGTTCGATTCCCGATTCAGCGATTTTCGGATCTATATTTTTCTCTTGCATTCATTTATTTATTTTCCGTAGGGGGGTTAAAGGGGGTATTGAAATTAAATCTCAAATATGAGATTATTTCATATTTTAAAATCTTGGCCGTGTCCAAGTAAAAATTTGGTGCTTTGTGCACCGGTATTTAATTCTAACGAAAATTATTTAGTTTCGTTAGGATAACGCATTGTCATCCGCGATTTTGCTCTTGTTGCCCGTCTTATACGTTAAATTTTATTTATATTACAGAGCCTTGTTAAAACTCTTATATCTAATTTATTTTGACTATTGTATTGCGACTCTTTATTAGAATGATTTTCATAATTTTTTTTTTTGCGTATTGAGAAAGACTAAGTATAGTTTGAAACGTTTATTGTAATTAAGAATATTAGAGTTTATTTTGTAATTAGTTTTAAAATTAAAATTTTTTGGATCTTGCATTAGACGGTATTAGCAGGAGATGGCAACATATAGAAACTTTCACAAATATTCCAATAAACGAATTTATTAATATCATAAAATTTGTTTTATTCTTTACTTATTTCACGTTCAACAACACTATTTATAAACAAACTTATGGTTCCCCTATGGGGTTTCCGTTGTCTCCTTTTATTGCTGATGTAGTCAAGCATGGATCTAGAGGCATCAATACAAAATGCGCTGGACTTTGATTTAATTTTTTACTACCATTACGTGGATGATATTGTGTTTTGCACTCATTCTGAGAAAGTCTCACATATCGTTTGAGAAATTTAATAATTATCATGAGAGGTTACAATTCACAGTTGAGCACGAGGTTAAAATTCACAGTTGAGCATGAGGCCTGTAACTTAAATTTTTTGGACATCTCTCTCAAAATAATAGACAACACAATTTATACGGATTGGTTTCACAAAAAAACATATTCAGGTAGATTAGTTTCTTCTTATTATAACCATCCTAAATGCCAAAAAATAGGAATAATTTACAATTTAGTTGATAGAGCGATTTTATTATCACATCCACGGTTTCATAAAAAAAATTTAGAATTTGTTATCAACACATTACTGTCTAACGGATACCCCCTAAATGTAATTTTTATAAAAATAAAACGCAGATTAAAAAATTTTACTATCAATAATTTCAATAAAACTAGAACAAATAATACAGCAATCAATAATAATAACACTGAAGATAATAAAAAATACATTGTCATTCCTTACATTGAGACGATGTCAGAATTTATTGCATCCGCGATAAAAAATCCTGATGTAAAAGTGGGATACCATTGCATTAAGAAACTCGTTTCATAAAAGTACAGAAGGACAAGAATGAGCGACCCTATAATTCTAATGTTATCTATAAAATAAACTGTAACAATTGCGATGCGACTTACATAGATAAGACAAAGAGACAATTGCGCATCAGAATTAAAGAACATATGAATAATGTTAAATTGGACTCTACGAGACATTCAGTAATTTCTGAACATATTTTAAACGAAGGACATTAATTTGATTGAGAAAATGCAAAATGTCTTGGATAATGAGAGAAATTACCAAAAAAGGCTTATATCTAAAATGCTACATATTAAAGAACACAAAAACAGCATTAATTTAAACAAGAACATTGAGTTACTCGATAGCAGTTATTTTGACATTCTCGATAAATTATCTTAGTCTTGACAAATAAATATAACAGCATAGATATTATTTTACACCAACGTTTACTTCTCATTTTAACTTTGACTTTCAATCGTATAACAACAATTATATAGAATGTTTGTGATTTCTATGATATTCTAACTAATTTACCGATTAACTGTTTAAACATATTGACACAGAAGTAAGTAATTTTATTACATTATGAATAAAATCTTTTATAAATATTCTCAGTATTAATAATTTATGTATATGTGCAGTACAGATTACTAGGAAAATTGTTGACTTTTGACTGTACGGATTTCTCAAGATAATGACTCATAAAGAAACTTTAATCATCTTTTCCTTCGCCTATCAACAAAAATCTATGCAAAAGGTTTTTATGAACGACTTGTACAAAATTGTGTTAGAACATTTTCCTGTATTAGCGGTAACTGAATTTCGAATTGACAGCTTTCTCCATTGAAATATTTGCGATATCACACCGTATGCTTTTATACCATATTTTTTATATCATGTTTTAATGTTAGGTTTTTTTTATTAATTTGTTTAAATCTTGTATTGATAAAGATCTTAGTGAGATCGAAACGTTTACACACGAATCATACATGCAAATGATATTAATAATAAAAAAAAAATTTTTTTATTAACACCTAGCTATTTTTCAGTTCGTTTAGTTGGCCTAGTAATTTCCTTTTATTACAATATGTAATTTTGCAAACGCGTTTGCTGCTGGACTTAAAAAATATCAGAATAAGCAGCAATTTTTATTCTTTTTCTAATCACTTTTATTTTATTATATCGTTATATCATCACTTCAATTATCTTTTCTCCGATACATGTTTATCTTATCATGCGCTAATAAAAATAGAGGGAATATATTTCCATTTGTCATAATTCGCAATAGGGGCAATATATGCTTCTATTTACCATTACCTTAAAGTCATGAAAATAATTTTTAAGTAAAATTGCAGATATTGTTATATTTGCAAAGCCATTAGTCGAACAAATGAGGGCAAAATAAGGACATTTTAGCATACATGTTATAGCATTACTGATAATAAATAAGTTTTTTCTTTCGTGTATGAATAATTAAAGAAGGAAGAAGTTAACATTATCCTATAAATAAATGAATTATTATCGTGTATATAAATAAAGTTCAGTCTTCTCAAGACATTAGTAAGAACACTGTTAATAATTCGTGATATTTTTTATATGTTTCAGTATTTCATATTATTCTATCATTTTGTGTAATACGACATATCATCAGTAAGTGCTTGATTCTATTCTAGATATTTTTAACACGTAAATACACATTTTAATTTTTATAAGACAAAATATATACAGAATCTATAAAATACGTGATCAAATTTTAGAAATAGGAAAAGTATGCTACACGCGTACACTTTAAAATAAATATTAAAATTGCAATAAAACTATTAGAGGAATGACAAAAAAGATTGTTAAAAAGTACCGAATTTGGCCCCCAAATGTGTAAGTAAAAGGAATAGTGTTTTTTGTAGATTTTGATTTCTTTTGAGTTCATTTTGATTTCTGTATATGATAAAACTTTAAAATATTGTGGGATTTAGGGAACACCGTCAAAATTGAGCAACAACATAATAAGGTGTTCATAGAAATTCGAATAATATATGAAATTATCACAGAACGTATCCATGCACCTTTTTTAAAGGAGAGCGGAAAAGAAATGCATTTTATAAAGCCGAAACTATCTAATCTAATATAATTAATAATAATAATAAAAATATTAGTTTACAGAAAATATTTCTTTTATTATTTTAAAACAGAAGAAGACGTTTTTATACATTTTTGGATGTTGAAAAAAGTGCAAGCCATTTTTTATTAGCATTATTTTTTATTTCGATATTTTACTTTTTAGTCATGGTTCTGAGAAATTAAAACTCAAAACATCTACTTATATGAAGCACTATCTCTATATGAGTAATCCTCAAATTTAATTGTACATAACGATTATAGCAAGTAATATATCAAAATAAAAATAACACATTTTATGGGGCATGAACAATACATACACCTGATTAGAATTTCCAGATAACGTTAACTTGTTTTGCAAAAAAATCTAAAATATAGCAAAAGCCATTTATTGCATATTGAATCTCAATTAATGGCTAATCTCTCCATACATCATCCAAAAATAAATATATATTGTTGCTCAATTTTCAAAGTGTTTTTTATATCCCATAAATTTTTTAATAATTTTATCGTATTAAGGAGTTTAAAATTTACAAAAAACACTATTCCTTTTATTTATTATACTTATCAAAAGTAACAATTAAAATCTATTCCTGAGGCTGAAAAGACGTTCAACGTGACTCACGCGGATCGTTCATTATTTCACATCGATTTGTTTTACATGTTAAGCTATAATACCTAACATCAGTAAAGTAAATTTTTTTACTTTATTTAACTTACTAAAATATATTTAAATTAGTTTTGCGACCACATTTTGATGTTATACTTTTGTTTTTCTTCAAATGTTTATTTCAATTTTTACAGATTTGCCGCTATTTTTTTCTCGATTATTTGAAAACCTAGACGTAATGGAGCAAAACGGTTTACAAATTCGGATTTAGTGACCCAAAATCTATAAGAAGCACCTACTCCGATCCCAGTTTATTTTCAAAAAATTTTCTTTTGTGGTCCTGTGTTATAGATATGTGGATGGCATATTATTAGCAGCCCCGAAACATTTGACTAAGAAAATTGTGGAAGTTTTCAATTCATATCATGATAGGATTCAGTTCACGATGGAAATAGAGGAGAATAAATCCATAAACTTTTTAGATTTAAAGATTATAATTAATGAAAAGAATAAAATTGTCACAAATTGGTTCCATAAAAAAAACAAATTCAGACAGATATTTATCGTATTTTTCTAATCATCCTTTGTGTCATAAAATAGGCACAATTTATAGTTTGACGGATAGAGCCGTATTATTGTCACATCCTCAATATCATATAAAAACTTGAACTATGTAATAGACACTTTGTTGGAAAATGGATATCCCCTGTCTTTTATCTTTAAGCATGTTGAGGTCAGGATAAAAAAATTAATGTTTACTAAATTATGTCAGAGTAATACTGTTGATAATCAAATTAATAAAAACCAGATACAAAATTTATAGCAATTCCTTACATTAAAAACTTAACTGAACATATTTGCAAGTCCTTTCGGAATACAGAATTTGCAGCGGGATATAAATGCTTAAATAGGCCTAATAAAATTATTAAAGTTCATAAGAATACCACTCCAAAAGAATATAATATTAATGTTATATATAAGATCTAGTTATGTTATATATAAGACTAGGATAAGAAAACACAGGACGAATATTAAACAACATGAGACAAAACACACGGCAGTGTCTCTACATATCACGGAACCTAATCATAATTTCGACTGGGATAATCCCAAGATTTTAGATCACGAAAAAAATTATTATAAAAGGTTGATCTCGAAGGCTATATCTACATAAAGCAACAACACAATGGTCTAAATGCAACAGAAGATAGCGAATATTTAGATTCTTCTTACTTTCCATTATTAGATTTTATTTTAAATAAACAAATTATACAACATGATTGTTATTGTCCTTTCGTCACTGTTTGCTTATATATATAATACCGGCGCTTTAAGATTGATGTCATTGTCTGTTCATAACTCAATAGTTATTGTCAAGTAAACGTGTTTATTATACATCGATAATTTTGACACGTATACATACAGAATAATTTTTATCATTTGACACACTGTAAAATTTATTTATTCAAACTTGGACAAACGATTGGTGAGTTTAGTTTAATTATGTAGACAATACCCACATAAAGTGTTAAATTCTTAATATTGTTAAAGTTAATTTTTATATTATATTTATAGCGTTTGTATATTGCGGCTGAAGAAGTCTTAAGTAAAAATACAAAGTTCCGCTTCTAATAAATGTTACATCTTATATTTATGTTTTTTTAATTTTATTCTAACATCGTGCTCAAAAAAAGTCTAATAAAAATTAAATTTTATGCTTTTAACTATCGAGCTTGTCAATTAATTTTAATTTACATAATAAAGTTTGGCGAATTAAAATTATGTATAGCTATAATGGAAATTCGCTTACTTACATTCTGCTCTATTGTCCTCTTGACAATAGCATTAAGTTGAATGACAGCAAATACATTACACATTTCATATGAATATGATCTTCCGAATGTGTACGAATACGCGAATGAATGCAGAACAAAAAGTAATTAATATATGTATTAATATATTTATATAAAATTTATGTATTTTATTTTGATAACTGTCAAATCGTTAACCTTCTCAACAGCTGCTCGATGCTATGAATCTAACGCATAACAACGACAAATCGAGACAGCCAATCAGCATGGCGGAAAAGCGACAACAATGTCAATAACATGCCTTTTTTAAAAAGAGGATTTTCGGAAGTCTACTACTACTCTTAATCGCGGTTTCCCTGACGCACCAGTTTTTTTAGCATTACTAATAATAGCGCGTTCCATTGGCTAATGCTTGTACTAATAATTCTGTAATAATAGAGTCAATATAAAGAACACGACGAGTATCGATATATCGAGACAGAGGATAAGACTAGATACAGAGAGAGAGAGAGAGAGAGAGAGAGAGAGAGAGAGAGAGAGAGAGGGAGAGAGAGAGAGAGAAAGAGGGAGAAAGAGAAAGAGAGAGGGAGAGAGAAGAGTAAAGAGGCAGAGAGAGACAGGGAAAGAGAGAGTAAGGAGGCAAAGAGAGACAGAGAGAGAGAAGGGTAAAGAGGCAGAAAGAGACAGAGAGAGAGGGAGAGAGAGAGAGAGAGAGAGGGGCAGGTTGTGCGCGCCTAAACGTATTCTGTGTCATGAACATATGTTTATATAATTATATTCTGTTCTGTATTCTGTTTATTACTGCATTGCACGTATTGACTGAACATTGTGGATACGGATCATTAAAGAATGATCTGATAAAAAACAGAATCGTTGGTATCCGAGACAAAAGTTTCGACGAAAAAATTACAACTTCGAATCAATTTAACACTCGACACAGCGATTACGATGGTCAGACAAAGCAAACAAGTTAAACAAAAAATTACAAAAATACCGTCAAATCCGAGTGCAAAAATCGATATTGATCGAGCAATCTCACGGAAAGATGAAAAGAAAGATTTCTTTAAACAAAAGTGTTCCACAACCAGTGGAATAGACAAGTTCAGCGGTGGAAGGTCAACCTCACAACACAGCGGAAGAAAATGCGAAAGATGCAACGGCAATACACATCCATACAATCAATGTCCAGCGGCTAAAGCAACATGTTACAAATGTAACAAGAAAGGTCACTACGCTAAAGTACGCTAAATCTGCAGAAGTACAACAAAAAAAAGGTTTAAAATGTGACCGAAGCATCAGGCATATTTATCGGCACATAACGAACGAGAAAAATACGAATAAGGAGTGGAAAAAATGAAAAGCAAAGTTGATATTGCGGACTGCACAATAAACTTTAAAGTAAATACAGGCGCGGAAATCACATGTATCTCGAGCAATACATACAACATATTTTTTAACGATAAACGCCTACAGCCGTCTAACAAACGAATCTACAACACTTATCAAAAAACAAACTTCTTCGGAACAAAAAAAATTCATTTTTACGGATAAATCAGATATCGTAATAAATCAAGAACGGTCGATGTATATGTTTTAGAAGGACTGGGTGAATCTTTTCCTGATGGCAACACTTGTGAAGATATTGGAATAATAAAGCGAGTAGATGTCAATGCAACTTCAATGAAAGAAACAAAATTTTTGTTTAATCCAGCTAAAAAATTTCCAAAACTATTTACAGGATTAGGAAGAGTCAAAATATTATACCAGATACGATTACGTACAGATGCTATACCCTTAGAACATATATACCTGGAAGGGGAATTGCTATTGTTCTCCATGGTAAAAATCTGTGTCCAAGTTGGGTGCGAGAGAGAAAGATAGCTTTTAATCTATGCTCGCAATGCGCAAACGTAGATGACGTCACAATGACGTCACGCTCACCGCGCCGTTTGAAACTGGAAATGTAATTGGTGCTTTCGCTAATTCGCGTTTGCGCATTGCGAACGGAGGTAACAATCTACCCTTCTCTTTTCTTAAAAACGTGGTTCTCTTTCGCACCCAACTTGGACACAGTTTTGCGCTCCTATTCCCCTTCCATATCTATATGTTCTAAGGCTATACCATATGCTCTTACAGTTCCAAGGAGAGTCCGCATCCTGTTACTTAAAAAAATAAAAAAGAATCTAGAAAACATGATACAACTAGGGGTAATCGAATCAGTAGAAGAACCAACAGAATGGTTCCGGTTTATTAGTGCCGAAATCTAATGGAACAATTCGTATGTGCGTCGAATACGTCCGACTTAATAAGTACATACTACGTGAAATACACTCAATGCCGAACACCGAGAACGTCTTGGGTCAGTTAGGGGAACCAACATATTTTTCTAAAATGGATGCAAATTATAAATTCTGCCAATGCGAGTTAGATGAAAAATTGCAGTTGCTTACAATGTTTATTAACCTCTTCAAACGCTTTAAATACAAAAATTTACCGTTTGGCATTAATGCAGCAAAATATTATAGATATTTAATCAGTGTAGAATTAAAATAAACGGTTGGACGAAAAGTCAAACATTGACATCATGCAACGAATTGAAATTGGCAAAAATTATGTTCTTGAAAAAACGACAGTAAGAGACAGTTTTTATCCTCTCCATGATTACGGAAAAAGACGTTTTAATTTGCAGAGATAATTAAATTATTAACGAAAATCGATAGTCGTTGTTGATCTTGACAGCGATGTGACAAACACTGCAAATCTTCTGTGTCTTATTATTAGCATGTACCACCAGATAGGCGGGCGTCTTCCTCCCAGTATTAACAATGCATATATATTTATACGGCCACATGTAATGTTAGTCGCCTCGTTAATTATGTACACTCGCGGAAAAAAGGCTTGTTTAGCGCGCGCTTGTGTTATCTAGTAAAATAAAATTATCTTGTCTCGCAGCGATCACCCGAGAAAAAACAGAATTTTGATCGCCTTGTCATTTAAAAAAAATATTTTCAAATTAAGCACGTTATAAGAAACTTTGTTGACATGTATAGAATATTATAAAAAATTTGAAAGTGCGTAATATATGTAATATAACAAAAAGATTAATAATTATTGAAATATCCTAAATCTGTAATAAGTATATTACTAATTATTAAAAAATATTAAAATATTTATGTATATTTATAAAAAGAGTGCATTTTGTTTTAAATAAATTTTGTCATTCTATGTTAATATATAATATTTTACTAAAAGTATTTTTAACTTTAAGAAAAATAATTACAAAAATAAAGTAAATTACAAGCAATATTACATATGCCAACAATAAAAGCATTAGTCAAAAATCTTGATTATTTTTTTTAACAGTCAAAGTCCGAATTAAGCTACATTTAAGATTGACTAGTCAAAGTCTAAAGATTTTTAGTTTTTAAGAATTTTTTTTAGTTTCTAACTTTAACTAGCCATATTAGTTATTCGTTGGATTGATTAAAAACGTACTAATCAAAAACCAAAACACAAAGGTATTTTGGACTTTGACCAACACGCTTGGTTGTTCCGCAGGATTGACCTAGGATTGTCAATCCTAGGAACGCCCACACATCGGGCTTTGACTATAACATATATATATGTAGTAAGCTGTTCCATATGAAATGTCTGATTTTACAATGTAAACTTATTAAAGCTTCTTGTGAATGGAAATCTTTATATTTGTACATATTTTATATATCATTTTAAAACTCAAAATTTGCTTTTTGGTATCTGCCTTTATTTCTTCAATTTAATTAATTTTGAATGTATTTTTTTCAACATTCCTTTCATCAATATAAAGATGATTTTTGCATACTTGTATTAATAATACTTTTAATAAAAATTTAAAGAAACAATATTTTTTATACTTATAACTTTATTAATCAAAATAAGAATTATTCTATTTCTAATTTCTAATAATTTATGAAGTGGATCCGCTTCAACTTATAATATCTCAACTTTTAATGTCATCAACAATTGTCCACGGTCGTCATTTATGAGACTTTTGTCTCCAGACTTAAATTTTTTATACTTACTGGTGCGTTCGTTGACAAAGTTCTCGACAAATGCAGTATTAATGTTTCGTGACAGCATTATGACCACTTTTCTACTTATACAAAAGAAGTACGCGAAAATCACGTCATTTATATTAAAAATAAATGTTTAAAAAATATATTTATATAAAAAAGGTTAATTTTGACCTTTAAAATGATATATAGAATATGTAAAAATATAAAGATTTTTATTGACAAAGAAAACTTTAACAATTTTACATTACAAATTCGGACATTTTATGTGGAGCGCAACCTAGTATATTTATATGTATCTATGTATATTTATTTATATGTGTATATTTATATGCATATGTGCAAGAATATCCATTATTTGAAACAGATGCATTTAAAATGGAAATGTAAAATGTTAAATGCTTATTGTGTACTTTTGCATTTAAAATACATATTTACAAAAATTATTTTATATTTACATTTAAATTGTTTTTATTATCTATTTTTAGCAATACAATACGGCGCTTTTTTTTGATAAGAGCGTTCCCAAACATTTTCATCAATCACCTTATACTTTCATCTTCTCATTTCCAAATCCTTGTTCTCTCCCCTTCTCTTATTCCTTCCAAGGAAACTCCTTGAAGTTTCTTTATAACTCCTTACTACCTTCTCCTTCTTTTTTCTCTCCCTCTTTTTCC